AGTGCCCCACCCATCCCTGATTGTCATTCCTGTAGATTGGAGATCTAGACAGTGCCCCACCCATCCCTGACTGTTATTCCTGTAGATTGGAGATCTAGACAGTGCCCCACCCATACCTTACTGTTACACCTGTAGATCTAGACAGTGCCCCACCCATCCCTGACTGTTATTCCTGTAGATTGGAGATCTAGACAGTGCCCCACCCATACCTGACTATTATTCCTGTAGATTGGAGATCTAGACAGTGCCCCACCCATACCTTACTGTTACACCTGGCTGTATCAAATCATCAAGGGTGACATCCAGTCATCAATGATCTTCAATCAACTGATTATTGATCCCCAATCATTGACTCAGTAGGTGAACACTCTGTGTGGGATAGGTTTGCCAGGTCTGAGTAGGAGGTGACATTCCCTAAAACAATACATCCACGTTACGGTTGACTCACACAGATTTGTGATATTTCATTGATAGTGTTTGTGTCCCCGGGGTACTAGACATGTGTGAGTATTGCTGTGTGATCAGGTCCGACACACCACATACAATTAATTATCTTGTCAGTTTATACTCAATCACAATAGATTGTCAATTGTAACAAGCATGCTACCTGCTGGTTTTACCTGTCATTTGTAAACAATCTTTGTTGTAATCATCCTCTTTGTTGTAAGTTTACCATGAATGAATATGAAACTTTGTTAAGGTATAAAACTTTTGACGTACCAAACATGATATGTTTTATATGGGGAAATCTTTGTCTAGGTATTACATGTCCTGTCTGTTACATGGTGTGGGTGGTGTGGTGTCCTTGGCTATTTTGGTGTTCGGTCTGCCAGGCTTGGATGTATATGGGGACTATGCACAGACAGGGTGGTGTAGTGGGGCTATATAGGGATGCATGGATGTGCACTGACCTCTGTTTCAAGAATGTTTCTTTCCTAAACTTAAGAAATGTTTTCCCTTTTAAGAAATTTAAGTTAAATCTTATCAGCCTTGCACAAATATAAGGTGTGGGTGTAGTGAATGGACAAAAGGTTAAGGCTGAAGGGATGCAGATGTCGGGGACATGTACCATACATTGTTACATAGGTTATATTAATTGATGAGCTGTACTTGTGCTATACAATGTCTGACCAGTATCACATTCATTTTCATGTTTGTGACTAAAACTTCACATAATTATTTTTTCTTTAAAGTTGTGCACAAATACATATATTGGCAATAGGATAACATTATAGGGCTAGCTGACAACCTTAAACTGAGGATTCAATTCATCTGAAATAACTATTGGTTGTTGAACAGGCTAGGATTGTGTCTACACTAGTATATGCATACGTGTAAGGACACATTGATTTTGTAAGTCTGGAACTCTTCAGCTTGAGCCCTGGGGTTGGACTGACATTGAACCAACCTTGAATTGATTTGGAGCTTAAGTTGGCCAAGTTTGGATTAGAGCTATGCCAAATCTATCTCCCACTGAACTCTTGGCGAAGTTCATCAGTGTCAGATCAATAGTTGACATGATCACTGAATCTGTCTTGACAGCTACACATGATAAAACACCAGACCCACCAATCTCTTGCTACAGACATCTGTCAGCCAATCATATCACTCCTCTCCTTTGACCGCCAGTGGTCAGTGACCTCACAGCTTTAACCAATACCTGTATTAATTATTTAACAATTAAAATAAGTATCTTTTTCTTCTTATAACTATTCAAGCATACTTCTTCAATGTTGAAATGAACAATAAAATTTAATAATCTTTCTAGGTACAATCATGGAATAACAAGAAAGAAGGAACCTCACCATTTGAAATGTTTTTGCCCCATATCATGTTGAGACATTTGGGTCTGTTAGATAGTCCCAAACACTTACTGAACGGTAACTGTAAGATTTTGGGCCTTTTGGAAAAATCCATAACAGTAACTATATTTATAATGAAATTTTCACGATAAAGGGTCCATAATTGGATAAGATTTTTTCATCTTGTTAAATAAATGAGAAACCAACCTAAGATACTGTAAAGGTTCAATTTAACTGCTCTTCTCCATTCCCATATCCTTCTCAATGGAATTCTTAACTCTATTTCAAAATAACCACAGCTAATGTAATTGAGTAAATGAAAGTAAAACATCCTGGACTATTTCAAGACTCTTTAAGTTTGTTTATCCAAGATTATTTTATCTGAAGTGTTCTTTTCCTTGTAATTGTAACTGTAAGTATAGGCACCAGGGTTTGTGGAAGCAGAAGGGACATTGTCTGTGCTGGATAGCCGGTCTCTAATCATAGAATCTATTCCTGACAATTAATCACACAGTAAATATTTACTCTGGGAGTGAAAAAAAATCAAATTTAGTAGAAATAACAGAAGCAGGGATTTACCAATTACATGTATCTAGAATTTGAATTAAAGTGGAATATAGGCTTTTTGTAAATTTTGGCAAAGGGTGATAAAGTCTATTACTTGGTGATATTTCCGTGCTAATTTGATATACAATTAATCAGTAATGTGGGCAATCTCATTTGCTGTGATGTTTGGTATGAAATTAGTTTTTGGGATTCCAGACATTTCATGGTCAGATTTTCTCATATACAGGTGATTAGTGTAGAATGTGTCTTCCTGTCAGAGAGAAGTTAGCCAGACAGGGCCGTCATCTCATCGCTATACTTGTAGTAGGGAACATTCCTGTCAGTGGGGCCCTAGCTGACACCTCAGGATTAGTAGGGGAGCATTCCTGGAGAAAGTAATACATCAATTCCATAGAGAAGAAATGGAAAAAATTCCACCAATTATCTTTGTATACATAACACTGTACATCAATCAGAAAATGGCACCATCCATTTCAGTTAGGTCAATAATCACCTTTAATAGCTGATAATGACCATCACTGGTCACTAATAACCTCTCAAGGACTTGTCAAAACAATCTTACCTAAACGTTGACACATCAGATTACTAATAAATATATCAGCCTCCAATAAAACTACAGGGTTATCAAACAAGGTACCCACATTGTATCTAGTACTTGTCTAATGGGACAAAACAAGGTAACCACATTGTATCTAGTACCTGTCTAATGGGACAAAACAAGATTCCCACATTGTATCTAGTACCTGTCTAATGGGACAAAACAAGGTACCCACATTGTATCTAAGTACCTGTCTAATGGGACAAAACAAGGTACCAACATGTATCTAGTACCTGTCTAATGGAACAAAACAAGGTACCCACATTGAATCTAGTACCTGTCTAATGGGACAAAACAAGATACCCACATTGTATCTAGTACCTGTCTAATGGAACAAAACAAGATACCCACATTGTATCTAGTACCTGTCTAAAGGGACAAAACAAGGTACCCACATTGTATCTAGTACCTGTCTAATGGAACAAAACAAGGTACCCACATTGTATCTAGTACCTGTCTAATGGGACAAAACAAGGTA